CCTTTTTAGCTTTGCTCCGTTTTCTCCGAGAATGGACATCTTAGAAACAAATGGGTGCAGCTCCATGCGCACGTCTCTGGTTTTCCTTGACTGCAGGATGAAATGAGCACGCACTGTCCTCCCCGAAAACAACCATTATATTGTCCCCATTCCCTTTACAACAATATCTAAGATACCTTCGGTGTGCTCTTTCCTATTGCGTTGCCTCCTACTTCGTCCCTACTACGTCTATGTTCTCTTTCGTCAAATGACGTCTTATGTCAAACATTTCGGGGGAATGGAGGCTCCCTGCGTTGCAGTCACATGCTCACGTCACACGGTCATGGTCGATGAACCCCGGCAGGCAGTACTCATGGTGCACCGGGTTCTAACGGGAAGGCATTTCGCACCACCGCGACGCTCTGATGCGCGGGAGAGCGACTTGCATCACCCCGGCGTGTCGTTGTTTCCGTCTCCCGGGCTGCTCGCCCGTATGCACGAATACCAGTTTTCTGAAATATGTCAGGCAAAACTGTCGTCCAGAAAATCAAAAAGAGTCTAACGTGAATACACAGGTTCGATGTTCTGGGTATGTATCATTGCTTTGAGTGCTGAGATACCTGCGTTGGCAAAAGCCGTTTGCCGCGACATTTTAACTTTTGTTTAAAGAGCTCTCCCATCGACCTATTTTAAGGTAGTAATTGGTTCATATCGCCATTCAAAAGATAGCACAGTCCATATTATATAATAGTCCATAATTTGAGAAGTGTTTATTTCAATATAGTGGGACTTCGTGGTCACGTGTTGACAAGCTTGTGATGAGTGTTGTTTGTTTGTAATTCCATAACATTTCATCGCGACTCCAGAACACGACATAATGGACATCATGCTCATTCGGAGCTGTCAGAACGCGCATGTGGCCAAACTGCCAAGTATGAAACGCATTATGAAACATGAACAACCGTAGTAATTCAGCCTCTTTCCGTAAATTACATGGTTCGCTACCCCGAGTTCAATGCTCCCAGCCATTGGAATCAAGCATTGAAAAAGTCATGTTTTTTCAGTACTTCTGGCCAATTGTAGGATAAAACATGATCCGAACCGCTCTTAGTCATTTCAATGGATTTCACATATGATGGAGATGCGTCTCCAAGATATGAATGACTATCGGAGTTGGCACGAGGTTTGTGGTGCGTCTTCCACGGAGAAATATCAACTGACACTTGCAGCGCCAACACACTAGAGCTCAATCATGTCGGGGGTGAGCCTGTATTGCACATTTCGCTCCCATATCACAACCGACGCGCGATATCACAACGTCTGTCGACGTAACAAGCGTTTCACATGTGCCATTGCGACGCATGCCGAGATGACTGCGACTGAGTCATTTAGCAGCCGGTGCTCTGGTTTGAGACGGCTCCGGTGTCGCTTGACTCCGCATTGCCCAGCAGTCCCTGTTTGTTCTTGTTGGAGGCATGTGCGAGGTTGGTGCTGCTCGCACACGGTCCGCTGGCGGATCCCTGCAAAAGAAATGAGATTCAAAACAGAGCACCACACTTGCCATGCACTGATTACCATTTATTTCATAGCATGCCTCGCTGTACGAACTAAAGAATAAATACAACGGACCGTGGTCTAAGCTGGCAGTTAGTATATATAGTTATCGAAGCTGGCAATCAAGTAAAACGCGGGGGTCATGCATACATGCCTGCACTACTGGAACGCTTGTAAGGTCAACCTAATGCGTGTTTCCATTCCATTTAACGGAATGCGAACAACCAACCTAATTCAGTTCACCTTTTCCAGACATGCTCGAACGACGCTCTCGTTTTTGCACGTACTTACCTCTGCAGAGGAGCCGACGGACGTAATCTTGGTGGTGCCACCAGGTGTATTGCTGGTGCCACTGGTGACAGTGCCCGCAGCCCCTCCAGTGGCCTGACTGTTAGGAATGCAGATGCCTCCAATGCAGAGGGGCTTCGCCCAGGCTACGGAGGCGCAGACCACAAGCAGGAGAGCGACGACCTTCATAGCTGCTGCAACACAAAACAATGGTTAAACCACGAACAAACTGCTACTGAACTCAAACATTGATGGTGCCTCCACACGGTGCTGGCGAATGCGCGGCTTTTCCACCCTACACCGTGAAATGAAACGAGCTCGGTGTGAAACACATACCAATCTGAGGTCAGTTTCTGACACGAAAACTACGCGCGGTCTGCGCCATTTTTTTTAATGACCCCACACAGACATGTCCGAAATACATCAATGCTACCAAGTTTTGAGGCATGATGCATGATGCTGCATGGAATAATTCCCGCACTCTGTGGCCTATAGTCCGTTTGTTCGCTTCCCACCACAACTGTCGCTTTTACACACAACAAAAGGGTTTGAGCTGTTCCCTTTAGAAACAGGAAACACATGACGACTTTCTATCGGCAGCTCATCATTTTCTCAGCAGCACAGCAGCAAGCTGTCAGATGGTAACGACGCTGTCCAAGCTTACTGCTAAGCCTAATATTCAACTGCTAATTACAGCCGGCTTGAGAAATGGCAACATGACCCGGATTGCACCCTGTGCTGCTCTCGCTCAGTAAACTCGGTCATATAACTATGGCCTGGAACCATCCACTACCGCAGCCCCAGACCACCCACAGCACCGTTGGCAAGGTGGCCAGGCCTTCGACACCGCAGTGGCCGAGACGGCCCGGGATGAAGCGCCTTACCTGGCTGAGTGCTGTGCTGCGACTGATGCCACCTCCCGCTGCGGCCTCAGTTTTATACACGAGCAGGGCAGCCTAGAGGTCAAGCATGAACGCCAACACCGCCTCGGTGACGCCCGAGCCTGCGCACCGAGCCTGCGCGGTAGAGCTGGGAATTTTCTGTCGCGAATTCTGGGAGATGAGCCGACATGGGAAGAAATGTGCTCCATTTGCTCGTGTATTTTCATACCTGGCACAGTGCGGCGTTTTTGGCCGTCATTTTCCAGATCGGGTTAACATGCTTGTCGGTGTATGGCTGTTGACACGGCGGGAATTTGCTACTGCAGAGGTCTGTAAGCTAACTGAGATGTCGCCAGAAAACACAACGTCTGGCAGCAAGACCCAGCAGCCCGAAATTTGTCATCACTGAAATGTTTCCGTCTTGTCTTATCACTTATTTTCATAAGATGTTCCTCTTATCTACCGCACAAAGACATGGGTCATAGATTTAACCTGGTCTCCAAACCAAGGGCTTTGTTTTGCACCGTATACTGAGGGGGCTTAGCCGTGAACAATTTTGAGCCTATTTACAGAACGTTCCAACGAACGGGCTTGTCCCCGGATTCTGGCCTCTTGTTTATAAATTTGGGGACCTGTAGCCCAACACATGTAGGGAGCCTTCCTCTCCCGAAATGTTAAACATCAGAAGACACTTGACGAACGAGCAAATAGACGTAGAAACGACAAAGTACGAGGTAAACATGCCCTGCTACTCTAAAAACAGAGCCCAGTCCGGATTTGACCCGATTTTTCAAATTTATTGAATTTAAATCCTCCGACTAAAAACTACACTACTGCTCGAAAACGGTCTACTTTGGCGAGAGACGGTGTTATCGGGCGTCGTTGTCACTTTGTTGGGCGACGATGGTTTAAACGATCATTCAGTCCCCACTGACACCGAGAACAGCCCACGGCTAGTGGTCACGCCGTCCAACTGTAGGAACATCTCGGAGATCGATTTCGTTAGTGTGACATTGACCTGCGCTCCGGCCGTCTTTATTTCCTCTCTTACAAGGCAGAGTCCGCCTTTGCGACCACTTTAGCTTTGCTCCGTTTTCTCCGAGAATGGACATCTTACAAACAAATGGGTGCAGCTCCATGCGCACGTCTCTGGTTTTCCTTGACTGCAGGATGAAATGAGCACGCACTGTCCTCCCCGAAAACAACCATTATATTATCGTCCATTCCCTTTGCAACAATATCTAAGATACCTTCGGTGTGCTCTTTCTCATTGCATTACCTCGTACGTTGTCCTTGCCACGTCTATGTTCTCTTCCGTCAAATGTCGTCTGATGTCGAACATTCGGGGGAATGAAGGCTCCCTGCGTTGCAGTCACATGCTCACGTCACACGGCCAAGGTCGATGAACCCCGGCAGGCAGTAGTCATGGTGCACCGGGTTCTAACGGGATGGCACCTCGCACCACCGCGACGCTCTGATGCGCGGGAGAGCGACTTGCATTACCCCGGTGCGCTGCTGCTTCCGTCTCCCGGGCTGCTCGCCCGTATGCACGAGTACCAGCTTTCTGAAATATGCAAGGTAAAACTGTCGTCCAGAAAATCAAAAAGAGTCTAACGTGAATACACAGGTTCAATGTTCTGGGAACGTGCCATTGCTTTGAGTGCTGAGATACCTGCGTTGGCAAAAGCCGTTCGGCGCGACATTTTAACATATGTTTAAATAGCTCTCCCATCAACCTATTTTAAGGTAGTAATTGGTTCCTATCGCCATTCAAAAGATGACACAGTCCATATTATATAATAGTCCATAATTTGAGAAGTGTTTATTTCAATATAGTGGGACTTCGTGGTCACGTGTTGACAAGCTTGTGATGAGTGTTGTTTGTTTGTAATTCCATAACATTTCATCGCGACTCCAGAACACGACATAATGGACATCATGCTCATTCGGAGCTGTCAGAACGCGCATGTGGGCAAACTGCCAAGTATAAAACGCATTATGAAACATGAACAACCGTAGTAATTCAGCCTCTTTCCGTAAATTACATGGTTCGCTACCCCGAGTTCAATGCTCCCAGCCATTGGAATCAAGCATTGAAAAAGTCATGTTTTTTCAGTACTTCTGGCCAATTGTAGGATAAAACATGATCCGAACCGCTTTTAGTCATTTCAATGGATTTCACATATGATGGAGATGCGTCTCCAAGATATGAATGACTATCGGAGTTGGCACGAGGTTTGTGGTGCGTCTTCCACGGGGAAATATCAATTGACACTGGCAGCGCCAACACATTAGAGCTCAATCACGTCGGGGGTAAGCCTGTATTGCACATTTCGATCCCATATCACAACCGACGCCCGATATCACAACGTCTGTCGACGTAACAAGCGTTTCACATCTGCCACTGCGACGCATGCCGAGATGACTGCGACTGAGTCATTTAGCAGCCGGTGTTCTGGTTCGAGACGGCTCCGGTGTCGCTTGATTCCGCATTGCCCAGCAGTCCCTGTTTGTTCTTGTTGGAGGCATGTGCGAGGTTGGTGCTGCTCGCACACGGCCCGCTGGCGGATCCCTGCAAAAGAAATGAGATTCAAAACAGAGCACCACACTTGCCATGCACTGGTTACTATGCATTCCATAGCATGCCTCAGTGTACGAACTAAAGAATAAATACAACGGACGGTGGTGTAAGCTGGCAGTTAGTTTATGTAGTTATCGAAGCTGGCAATCAAGTAAAACGTGGGGGTCACGCATGCATGCCTGCACTACTGGAACGCTTGTAAGGTCAACCTAATGCGTGTTTCCATTCCATTTAACGGAATGCGAACAACCAACCTAATTCAGTTCACCTTTTCCAGACATGCTCGGACGACGCTCTCGTTTTTGCGCGTGCTTACCCCTGCAGAGGAGCCGACGGACGTAATCTTGCTGGTGCCACCAGGTGTATTGCTGGTGCCACTGGTGACGGTGCCCGCAGCCCCTCCAGTGGCCTGACTGTTAGGAATGCAGATGCCTCCAATGCAGAGAGGCTTCGCCCAGGCCACGGAGGCGCAGACCACAAGCAGGAGAGCGACGACCTTCATAGCTGCTGCAACACAAAGCGATGGTCAAACCACAAAGCAACTGCTATTAAACTCAAACATTAATGGTGCCTCAACACGGTGCTGGTGAATGCGCGGCTTTTCCACCCTACACCGTGAAATGAAACGAGCTCGGCGTGAAACACGTACCAATCTGAGGTCAGTTTCTGACACGAAAACTACGCGTGGTCTGCGCCATCTTTTTTAATGACCCCACACAGACATGTCCGAAATACATCAATGCTACCAAGTTTTGAGGCATGATGCATGATGCTGCATGGATTTATTCCCGCACTTTGTGGCCTATAGTCCGTTTGTTCACTTCCCACCGCAGCTCTCGCTTTTACACAAAACAAAACGGTTTGAGTTGTTCTCTTTAGGAACAGGATACAGATGACGACTTTCTATCGGCAGCTCATCATTTTCTCAGCAGCACAGCAGCAAGCTACCGGAAGGTAACGACGCTGGCCCAAGCTTACAGTTAAGCCTAACATTCAACTGCTAATTACAGCCGGCTTGAGAAATGGCAACATGATCCAGATTGCACCCTGTGCTGCTCTCGCTCAGTGAGCTCGGTCATATAACTATGGCCTGGTGCCACCCACTACCGCAGCCCCAGACAACCCACAGCACCGTTGGCAAGGTGGCCAGGCCTTCGACACCGCATTGGCCGAGCCGGCCCGGGCTGAAGCGCCTTACCTGGCTGAGTGTTGTGCTGCGACTGATGCCTCCTCCCGCTGTGGCCTCAGTTTTATACACGAGCAGGGCAGCCTAGAGGTCAAGCATGAACGCCAACACCGCCTCGGTGACGCCCGAGCCTGCGCACCGAGCCTGCGCGGTAGAGCTGGGAATTTTCTGTCGCGATTTCTGGGAGATGAGCCGACATGGGAAGAAATATGCTCCGTTTACTCGTGTATTTTGTAACCTGGCGCAGTGCGGCGTTCTCTGCCGTGGTTTTCCAGACCGAGCTAACGCGCTTGTCGGTGTGTCGGCTGTTGACAGGGCGGACTTTGTAACTGCAGAGGTCTGTAAGCTAACTGAGAGGTCGCCAAAGAACACAATGTCTGGCAGCAAGACTCAACAGCCCGAAATTTGTCATCACTGAAATGTGTCCGTCTTGTCTTATCACTTATTTACTTAAGATGTTCTTCTTATCTACCCCACAAACACATTGGTCATAGTTTAACCTGTTCTCCAAACTAAGGGCTTTGTCTTGCACCGTATATTGAGGGGGGCCTAGCCGTGATCGATTTTGAGCCTTCTTACAGAATTTTCTAAAGAACGGGCTTGTCCCCGGATTCTGCCAACTTGTTTGTAAATTTGTGGGCCTGTAGCTCAGCCTGTTGGTAGGATGGAGGAGAAGTACTGAAGTCCTTCCAACTGAATAAAAGACGTTACCTATGGGCCGAAATATGTCTTACAAATGTCTACACATGTTGTGGACGCCAAAGAACTAGATTTCCACATCTGTGACGAAATTTTCAGCCGTCCAGCGATAGTTCGGCTGGTTTAGTGTGGGTAAGCGCACTAAGCACCGAGCATGTGGCATGCTCACAGAAGCATAATTAAACGGTCAATGAAGAGCCAGCTCAACACGCAAAGCTCCTGCTCTCAACATGCGTCGCGCCTGTCACTGCCACGACGGACATTTTCGTTGCCAAAGGAACGTTTCCTTCGGCAACCGTATATATTGGCAACGTCATGTTGGAACTGAAGCGGGTGAGGGTCGCTTTCCGTTCAGAGGCACAACATCTTAGAGTAGCAGTGTCCCTCAGAAGAACAGCAGGTCCACTATTCACGTGGATTGAAATAAGAAGGGAAGAGCATTTTCGACACAGGGCAGCCGCCTAGGCGTATTTGGGGAAGGTAGAGGACCATTGTGTGACATGTGGAGAAGCGCATATGTTCTGTTAGGTACGTATATATATATATATATATATATATATATATATATATATATATATATATATATATATATATACATAAATGTATCAGTCGAAAAGGGAACTCAGAAATTTATGTAACTTCGACGGAGGTTTGTCTATTCTCGTGACGATTGATTTGTATCATTTCTCCAAGTATCCATTTTTTATTGTTTCTGGGATTGCAATTTTCATCGACGTATAGTGAAATGAAAGAATAAATCTAAGGTTCCTTAATTTCAACTAGCCATTCGTTATGAATAAAGTCGACGTTATGAGTTTAGAGTTATTGAGTTGAGCTGTTGGCTTTCAATATATCTCGAGTGAGTTGAGCTGTCGACTTTCAATATATCTCGAGTGAGTTGAGCTGTCAACTTCCAATATATCTCGAGTGAATTGAGCTGTTGAATTTCAGAATATCTCGAGTGAGTTGAGCTGTCGACTTTCAATATATCTTATGGTAATGGTCAAACGGCGTAACAGTGCAAACGTTGGTCACACAAGCATTCTTCAATATTTTAAGTTGGAGCCATGCTCACGAGTGACAGGTGCTAAATAGGGCTGTGCAGAAATATAGTTGAAAGTGAAAAATACGTGAAGACGCTGTCACTAAAAAAATTTCAAAATACGGCACCATCCAAGCTTACGTTCTGACACAATACACGGTTCATGCCAAGGGCTGTGCAGACTGTTAAGCCAAAAGGCTACGATGACCCATACTGAGCATTGGATAAGAAACTTATTTACCACGATTATAAGCCTCGACGAGCATTGATCAAACCCTACGAATGTCCAAGAGTTCAGGTCCTCCCACCCTGGCACCTACTAAACTCAACATGTCGGAAAGTCAAAAGCTGCGTACTATTCCCTTCCATCCAAGCTCACATGCATGGCCGGATATACGCAACTCACTTCTGCTTTTGTTTTGATAAAGGCATGTTGTCGAAATATCAACGCAAATATCAACGTATCTCCATTCTACCGGCTTTCTCCGAGGAATGAGGCTATTACTACCGTCTCATCCATGTGTGTAATGCTCCTCGCAAATGCGCTTAACAACTTACGTAATTCCAAACTCTTTTGGTTGAGACTCTCTGAGTGTCACGTTACCTGCTGCGGCCGCAGTCAACCGCAGCTCTCCTGGCCCGCTCACGTCACCTGCTGGGGCCGGAGTCAACCCCAGTTCTCCTGGCCCGCTCATGTCACCTGCTGCGGCCGGAGTCAACCCCAGCCATTCTGACCCGCTCGCGTCACCTACTGCGGCCGAAGTCAACCCCAGCCATTCTGACCCGCTCGCGTCACCTGCTGGGGCCGAAGTCAACCCCAGCTCTCCTGGCCCGCTCACGTCACCTGCTGGGGCCACAGTCAACCCCAGCCCTCCTGGCCCGCTCATGTCACCTGCTGGGGCCGGAGTCAACCCCAGCTCTCCTGGCCCGCTCACGTCACCTGCTGGGACCGAAGTCAACCCCAGCCATTCTGGCCCGCTCATGTAACCTGCTGGGGCCGGAGCAACCCCAGCCATTCTGGCCCGCTCATGTAATCTGCTGCGGCCGCAGTCAACCCCAGCCCTCCTGGCTGATGTCACCTGGACAGCTACACATGCTGATCGTGACAGTTAAGGCTGCATCTCACCCACAACTGCGCGTTACTCATAAATAACTAGAGTCGCATGTCAGTCCTCTGTCTGCTGGTCAGCCGCACGGGCCAGTCGCGCGCCGTCAGAACCCTGGCGGCGTTGCGACAGGAACAAACAAGGCGTGGGTCATTCGAGCTGGGCTAACCAGGGGCTTTGCCATGTTTACGCTGGCCAAACTCGGCTGGGAGTCCGCCTAGCGGCCTGGGCACCGAGTCCGACAGCGGGCGGTGCCGTCCCCAGCCTGGCCACTGCGCCGCTGTCGCTGTGCCTTGCAGCTTTGACGTCACTACGAGACTTTAGATAGGCATCAGCTCAGAGGCGGCCGGTGCTGGGCGCTGTGACGTCACCAGGGGGCGGTGCAGCGGTCGGTGGCCAGCTGCGGAGAAAAGAACACCTCGGAGCAATGCACTTGTGTTGAAATCGGTGTGGTGAAATCTGCTGCGAGAAACGCGCGTTCTCCTCACACCTCCAGCAACCACGAGACAGGCCTTCGGACGTATTTCACGACACACAATCGCAAGTGGTACTCAGTCGATACCTATGTTCGTATTAAAGGGAAGAAGCCACGTTTGGGGTATAACTCGAAAACAAAATCTGGTGAAACCTCGGGACGAAGCGTGTCTGGCAATAACACTGGGAAGTCCCACTGCAGCACCAACAGAAAATAATGAGCCAATGAAACGCAATTGTTTTGCAGTCCTCTTAACGCAGTAAACGATTCGGCACAGCACAACATTTGCTTCTTTCTTTGCAGCTCCAGGTGCCATTTCTTGAATATGCGATCTCGGTGCATGATGGCATGAAAGTGTGAGGCTCATCGTAGCCTCCGTGGCTGTGGGCAGAGATTTCACGCCCAGCTGTTGAAAAATTGTCGTTAACATTGGCATTGACATGGCAAAAAAGAAAAATCTACCTGCAAACGCCAAGTATCAGGCTGTTGGTGCACCTGGAGCGCGGTGGTCACAATGTGTTTCACCATTGATTGGTATGAATGACGTCAGAAGAAACTAACGTGTGTTGCTGGCACAGCGGGCGGCGAAAGCCACTTCTCGAGAAGTGCACTAGTGGAAGTTAAACAGTGCGTCATTGGACCACGTGCAATGTTGCTGCTTTGTAAACACAGCGGCACCACGTCTGCAGCGTAAACACAGCCTTGTCACGAACTGACCATCCAAGTAAGCAAAGCTTCTCGAAGTCAAAGTGCACTTCGAAAATAGTCATTGCGCTGAACATCACATGGGGAAATTAAGGCCGCAGCATTTAACATTTATTTAAGCCGCAGTTGCATTTGTGTGGTAAGTGACCTCGGGCTGATGCAGCTTTTCCCCCGCATTCAGTGCTTCTCGTTCTAATGCGACTAGTTGCACAGACATTTTGATCAACTAGCATATTCTGAAAATTACGTAAGAGGACCGCTGGAAAACATAGGAAATAAGAAGCACTAGCTGCATAGTGATGAGCAGGAAGTCCAGATTGGACCAGTGGCGGCGTATCCAGCCAATTGGCAGCACCTTGATCAGCAGGTTGAGCCGCAGGCCGGCCGGTAGCTCGGTCAGCGGTAGCTCTTGTTGACGCCAATACCAAGAGGACACCACTTCGGCATCGAAGAGCAGCTCCTGCATGCCGCCGCTGGCGAGCAGCGTCAGGAGCGGGGCCGCGTCCCAGTGCCAGGAGTTATCGCGGGGTGGAGTGGGGCGGACGGCCACTTCGTCCGGCGCCATGACCAGCGTCAGGAACGTGAAGTCGGGTGTCCGATGTCCCGTGGCGCACGGACACCCGTAGATCGGCCCGGAGCCGCGGACAGGCGTGGCGCCTCCGGGATGGCGACGTCGGTAACGAGTTGGCCAATGTCCACCTGCGGGTGCAAATCCAGACGGGCCTGGGGCCATACCTCCCCGTGTCACACAGGGCTGTCGCTCGCGCCCGTTGAGTAGTTCCGCCGATTTATTTTTTATTTAGTACATTTCAGAATAATACCGCATTACCAAGATAGGCAAACCTGTGTACAGGCGTCTTCGACTACATTTCATGACACTTCATACCTAATTAAGTTGTTGCTTGACATTAGGGAGTATACAAGTTCCTGGCAAAGTGACAACTCCAAAAATATGTCATTCAAAAACATCAGGATATATCATCCTATGGTTCAATCTACATCTGAGTCAGTAGTTATAAGCAGATGTTGGCAGATTCCTGATAATTCCACACATTTTTTCCTACGCCTTTTTCTTATAATTTCCA